TTTTGGATCGATGCGGACACTTGGTATACTGAATAATTTGGTTTGCTGCGAACTCTCGCAGGTCCGGATATTTTGGATCGATGCGGACACTTAGTATACTGAATAATTTGGTTTGCTGCGAACTCTCGCTTATCCGGATATTTTGGTTGACTGTGGACATTTGATATTTTAGTAAAATTGAATTAAAGCCATATCATTCTTAACTGTAAAAATTGTTTTACATTGCTTTCCAGTTAATCCAAATACTATAAAAAAGATAAACGTACGGGAAATAATAGTGTTAGACGTCCTTGTTCAAGATCCGTGTAGATTTGTTAAGTCGAACCTTGTTATCCGGATAACGATCGGTCCTCATTTATCCGGATATATTGGTTAACTATCGATTAAAGTTTGACGGAATATCTTTACATTTTAATTTAAAGCCCAAAGTCATTCTTGATGTTTCTGCTGTGAAATATCTTATAGATATATTTACAACAAAACCTCGTCTTTATGCTAAGGATAGTTAAGATGAAAATATTGGCAAACTCGAAAAGATGATGCGGAAAAGAAAACATACGTAAGGCGAAACTTGGAAAATATTCAATTTCGTTTCACATTTAAGTCTGTGAAATTCTTTTCTTTTCTCTCGCCCTTCCCATTTAAACCGTATGATGAGTGCAGGGTCACGATACCTGACAAATCTTTCACAACATCTGATAATGGGTGTGACTAGATTCAGCTCAAGGTTACGACCTTCAAGACTATCCCGAACCAGTGTCGGGTGAGGTTTCCTTCATCAAAGATTCGGGAAGGCCGTTTTAGTCTTACGTAATTTTGAAGGGGGTGGGGTACGTATGTTTAATTCATGCATTTACCAGAGAAAAGAAACACCCAGGAAAGCCGTTTCATTTAGAATAAAATGCATTATTTTTTCATGTACGCAAAATTTCATCATCAGTTCGAAAAGATTCTAAGGAGTGTTCTTGATTTTCTCTCAATACAGGCATGTTCAGGTCTTTCATTTACCGTGAACTTTATATAAATGCATTTAGTATGTATTTCAGATTTGTATTATGGTATATCTGAGCGACCCAGCTCCCTTTTCTACTCCCATAGACTACATACTAAGACTATTACTGTCTTTTTTCTCTACTCAAATATTATGGAAATTTATGTCCTTAACTTCGACTGCGTTTTCTCTAACTGGAGATGAATTTATTTAAGCTGTAAAACTTGTTTCCATGTCCAATTTCAATTACTGTTGGATGTCACTACTGTAAAGAGAAATGAAATGCAAGTTTACAATCAGGATAATGACATTTCAGTCACATAGTCCAATAGGTATGTTTTTATGTGGCTAAGCGATTGAAAGTACAATGTATGTGTAATTTCAAGGAAGACTACCATTGTCAACTCTAGGCTACAGCATCCATTAACATACATTAAACATTTAGCCTAATGACTTTCATGTTAAATTTCATATTCTTCACATGACAATGTATCTTGACTCCAGGACTTACTTTCCTAAAGAAGAAGTTGAAAAATGACACAAACAAGGAATTGGTACATATAATTTCGTTGTTTAATAATGGCTATATCCATAAAAGAAACAAAATGTTTTGTCAACAATAAAATACAATATCTAGATAAGATATATATGATCAGTGGATATTTTGATTTATCCTACATTGTTATCACAAACGACCACTTATATATTGTCAATGATATATAATGTTTAAAGAAATAAGTTCAAATTAATATTTGGCATGAAAAAATGAAATCACAACCCATAGGATTTTTCACACTAAAAATAGCTTCCTGAACCGTTGATGAAAGATTATTTAAATGTTTTTTTGTTAAATGTTCCCACACATGGTAAGATGGAGACATAGTTGATAATAGTGTACCAATTTTGTAAAAACAGTAATTTTCAAACGGATTTGTTTTTGTTAATTTCATTGGCACTCCCGAATTCATTTATCCAAGAACTTTTTAACTTTGTATAAGTAGAATAATTGAGCTATACTATTACAAAGGCAAATTTCCATGAAATAGAATTTTTTTTTTGAAAAAACCATAATAATTAAGACCGATGAAAATATATTATTAAGACCACAAGTTTGGAGGGGATGTTGTATTCTGATTCACCATTATGTCTTGATTTTATTTTTTTCTCTCCATTATTTTGAAGTAAGCAAAGGTTTCTCCCAGGAATACTTAAATAAATGATAGCACCAAGTTTTATTTAGTTAACAGTGAAGCAGACGAAAACAAAAACTTCAGAGAATTATTAGCCAAGACAAGTTAGGAATCTGTCACCAGACCGAGACGTTCTATTTGCAATATAGAAAGGAACCATGTATTTTGGGACAAAATTTACTGATCTGAGTCAGCCAAGGTCTAGTTTTAAACTGTATTTGGTGGTAGCAAGCTGGAGGTGTGACTTATACAGAATGTCAGATTAAACAGGGCTTGGTTTAGACATGACACTGTATATAGAGGGAGTCAGCTGGAAGTCCGACATATACAGATTGTCAGATTAAACAGGGTTTAGTTTAGAAATGTTACTGTATATAGAGGGAGTCAGCTGGAGGTCCGACTTATACAGAATGTCAGATTAAACAGGGTTTGGTTTATACACAATACAGTACGTTATATCAAGGTCAGGTTATAGAGGGTTTGGTTTACTCAGGATGTCTGTTTACACAGGACACAAGGTGAAGGGGCCACTTAATGGTCTGATTCACAGCATCCAATTTATACAAAGTTTCAAAGCACATAAATCTAATATGAAGTTCACAGTAAATGTAAACCTTTTAAAAGACCTTTTTAGTTGTCTCCATAGTCAGCGTAGTGATTGGCATAAGTCTCCGACACTTTGACTTTCTAAAACCACATACTCATCTGGTAAAATCTGCCTTACTGATATATAATAAAAAATGTATACATCTGGTACAATGTTGGTAACTATAACAAGGGAGATTCTATGAATTTCTACAGAATGGAAATACAAATGACAACATACAGTGTATCATAAAAATGAAAAATTAAAATGAAATAAGACAATTTTTTTTGTTTAGGAGTTTAATACATCTGGATTTGGTAATCTAGAACCTATATGTCATAGGATGGTTAGCTTAATAATTTACTTGATGAGGAAATGACATATCTATCAATCACGACCACCAACAGGATCTGTTTCAGAAAGCACCTGGTGATTACATCTTTTATGGGAATACTGAAATTACATGTACATATCTTAAAACTAATTTTGTTTTAATAAAATCATAGTAATTACTGTTACAAGAACAATGTCAATTAAAATTTGCATGAACTGTTACCACTTCAAAAATATTAATATTTTTTGGTGCCATTCAATAGGATTCCATCAACTAGAACATCATTTCAAGTGTAAGTAGTATAAACAAACACAAATCCAGATGATGTGTACAAAATCTTTGAACAGGAAAATTATGATTTGTTTGAATTTCAATGGAATCAGAACAAAGAAAATTTACAGATTTCAATTGTAAATAATATATAATGTTGATTTCACTCTTTGTAAAGGTAAGTAAATACAAACAGTAACTGCTGACAGTTAAACACACAATTTTAAATGTGTATATCTTATTTTTCAATTAATTTACAATAAAGTTAAATCCTTTGAAAAAATAATAACCCCAGAAAATAATAAGATTTCATAAAGTGTGTGAAAATTTGCAATTTTTCTACAAACTTTTAACATTTATTTTGAAAAACATGGAATTCAAATATGCATAGCAGTCTAAGGGACAGCACTCTAACCCCAAAATATTTATTAATGCTTTCTCATCATTTTTCCAAAATCTGAATACCAGAAAACAGTTATAATAAAGTTGTATCATAAAAGAATTTTGTCTTTCCAAATAATGAAGTCTTATAAATATTTAATGGAAAATATGACTTCTTCCTTATTTCACTATTTCCTTCATGACAAATTCAAGCATGCAGGATAAACAAATGATGTTAACAAAAATGAAAAAAAAATTAAAAAAAAAAAAAAAAAATATATGGATACACATCAAAAAACAAAATGAAATGAAAAAATCATACTTTAGAGGACTTTCATGAACTGATTTTATCATACATTTTGAGAACATTATTACAACAGGCTTTGATGAAAATTACTGTCAGATGATGAACATTAATTTGAAACTATTTGAGCCCTGATTTGACTTGGATTTCATGTCATAATAAGCCCCCAATTATTCTCAGAGAATGAGAAAATTTTTTCGAAGAGAAAAAATATTCAGAGTTCTCAATCTTGCTCACATGTAAAAATGTAAATAGTACATCTTGTAAAAAAAATCTGTTCTACCTCAAAATTCAGAGTCTATAAAAGTAAAAAGAATTGAGAGTAATTAATACTTTCACAATAAATATTTTTTTAAAAATACTTCCTCAAATTAGAACACAAATTATATCTATCATTTATTACACAATGAGAGAAAATCAAAGTACATTAATATTGTGCATACTTAACGACAAATCATTACAACAACTTCAATAAAGAGAAACAAAATTGTCTTAAGTCCACCAGAGTTATTTCCCTTAGACCGAACGGTCATGAACACAAAACTGTGATAGAGACCCTGCTTACTGCAAGGAATCAAGAGTTATTTCCCTTAGACCGAACAGTCATGAACACAAAACTGTGAGAGAAACCATGCTTACTGCAAGGAATCAAGAGTTATTTCCCTTTTATATATATATTATATATATATATATATATAAAACAAAAAACAGAGCAAGTTGGTTTTTCTTTTCTTTTTTTTTTCCATTTCTGAATTGATTTCTTTCCATTGTTTACTCTAGGCTTATTCTGGCATCAAAATACAACACATCACATATCCTACAGTACAGAATGATTGACAGCTTCTACATGAAATAATTTTTCAGGTTAAATATAATGGACATGAATGGATAAGGGTGGGCTTATTACAAGGCATGGACTTCTTGCTTGATATTTACGAGTGAAAAGTTTGCTCTGGTTTAAAGGATATATCTAATGTATACCTTTAAGGTAATTTAAATGCAACATACAGTAAAATAAATTATCATCACACATCTGTTGCTATCAATCAGAATGAAATCCATTTGTTCCATTAGTCCCATGCGTGTGAGAATGTAATTTCTTGCTACGGCCAACATACGTATCCATAAAAGAAGCAGCACCAAAAAACTTCTTTACTTCTATGAAGGCATCGACAGGTAAAATCCTTTGAAATAGATAATTTACACAATTATTTTATAGGTATACACTTAAAGGGTTAGAGAAATTTTCCAGTGAATTTAGCACTGATTTAAAACATATGTTTCATAAAATTCATATGAATTGAAATCTCTATGTACAGCAAAAAGACAAATATTAATACATTTACTAAGACATACCTATACATAATAAATATAATGACATTGTTTTTTTTTTATTCATGGGTTTAAATTTCACAACAGGTCCCTATAAAGACCTTAAGTACTGTATGACTATATGTGTATATCAAGTTTTTTCTGCTTAACTCTTTACTGATGGATAGATGGAACGATAGTTGGATGGTTGAACAGATGGATGGATGGATAGATGGAAGGATGAATAGATGGGAGGATGAACAGGTGGAAGGATGAACAGATGGACAGACAGGCAGAAGGATAAACAAATGGACAGACAGGTGGAAGGATGAACAGATGGACAGACAGTTGGAAGGATGAACAGATGGACAGACAGTTGGAAGGATGAACAGATGGACAGACAGGCGGAAGGATGAACAAATGGACAGACAGGTGGAAGGATGAACAAATGGAAGGATGAACTTATGGATAGACAGATGGAAGGATAAACAGATGGACAGACAGTTGGAAGGATGAACAGATGGACAGACAGATGGAAGGATGAACAGATGGACAGACAGGCGGAAGGATGAACAAATGGACAGACAGGTGGAAGAATGAACAAATGGAAGGATGAACTTATGGATAGACAGATGGAAGGATGAACAGATGGACAGACAGTTGGAAGGATGAACAGATGGACAGACAGGCAGAAGGATGAACAAATGGACAGACAGGTGGAAGGATGAACAAATGGAAGGATTAACTTATGGATAGACAGATGGAAGGATGAACAGATGGACAGACAGTTGAAAGGATGAACAGATGGACAGACTGATGGAAGGATGAACAAATGGAAGGATGAACAGATGGACAGACAGGTGGAAGGATGAACAGATAGACAGACAGGCGGAAGGATGAACAAATGGACAGACAGGTGGAAGGATGAACAAATGGAAGGATGAACTGATGGATAGACAGATGGAAGGATGAACAGATGGACAAACAGTTGGAAGGATGAACAGATGGAAGGATGAACAAATGGACAGACAGGTGGAAGGATTAACAGATGGACAGACAGGTGGAAGGATGAACAGATGGCAGGCATGTGGAAGGATGAACTGATGGAAGAATGAACAGATGGAAGGATAAACAGATGGACAGACAGTTGGAAGGATGAACAGATGGACAGACAGTTGGAAGGATGAACAGATGGAAGGATGAACAGATGGACAGACAGGTGGAAGGATGAACAGATGGACAGACAGGTGGAAGGATGAACAGATGGACAGACAGTTGGAAGGATGAACAGATGGAAGGATAAACAGATGGACAGACAGATGGAAGGATGAACAGATGGACAGACAGTTGGAAGGATGAACAGATGGAAGGATGAACAGACAGACAGACAGATGGAAGGATAAGCAGATGGAAAGACAGGTGGAAGGATGAACAGATGACCAGACAGGTGGAAAGATGAACAGATGGCAGGCATGTGGAAGGATGAACAGATGACCAGACAGGTGGAAGGATGAACAGATGGCAGGCATGTGGAAGAATGAACAGATGGAAGGATGAACAGATGACCAGACAGATGGGCACCTTTGATGAAGAAGGTAGTATATACAGAGGAAATTTTTTTGAGTTATCTGGAAAATAATTTAACATTTAACACAAGTTTATTTTATTGTAAAAATTGTCTGTCATTTTCATTCCAATATATATTCAATAGACAGCATTACACTTACATTTTCAATGTTGACAGGAAGTAGACAGAACGTGGGATGCAAATCATTTTCTGATTCGTAAGAATAGCTTGCATCATTCGATCAACAGTTTCCCTTGTTTCAAGAGCTGGTAGTAACCATGGAAATCTAGAAAGAGAAAACAATACTGATATATGATATACTGTGAGACTTTTTGCCAGAGTACGGAGTACCTATAACACATTATCAGTACCAATGGTGATACAAATAACTACTATCAGTATTCATTGAAAGCAATATAGGACACGACATCTGTCGAGGATATTTCACACATTGTCATTGTTTTCAATGACTACAAACCATTAGCACTTGGTAGATCAGTGCTCTTAGTTCACACATACGTGAGTCCTTACCATTGGCATCAGTACTGACCAGTGGTGTGAGTGTAACACAGGAGTACTGACCAGTGCTGTGAGTGTAACACAGGAGTACTGACCAGTGGCGTGAGTGTAACACAGGAGTACTGACCAGTGCTGTGAGTGTGACACAGGAGTACTGATCAGTGGTGTGAGTGTAACACAGGAGTACTGACCAGTGCTGTGAGTGTAACACAGGAGTACTGACCAGTGCTGTGAGTGTAACACAGGAGTACTGACCAGTGCTGTGAGTGTAACACAGGAGCACTCACCAGTGGTGTGAGTGTGACATGGGAGTACTGACCAGTGGTGTGAGTGTAATACAGGAGTACTGACCAGTGCTGTGAGTGTAACACAGGAGTACTGACCAGTGGCGTGAGTGTAACACAGGAGTACTGACCAGTGCTGTGAGTGTGACACAGGAGTACTGATCAGTGGTGTGAGTGTAACACAGGAGTACTGACCAGTGCTGTGAGTGTAACACAGGAGTACTGACCAGTGGCGTGAGTGTAACACAGGAGTACTGACCAGTGCTGTGAGTGTGACACAGGAGTACTGATCAGTGGTGTGAGTGTAACACAGGAGTACTGACCAGTGCTGTGAGTGTAACACAGGAGTACTGACCAGTGCTGTGAGTGTAACACAGGAGCACTCACCAGTGGTGTGAGTGTGACATGGGAGTACTGACCAGTGGTGTGAGTGTAATACAGGAGTACTGACCAGTGCTGTGAGTGTAACACTGGAATACTGACCAATACTATGAGTGTGACACAGGAGTACTGACCAGTGCTGTGAGTGTAACACAGGAGTACTGACCAGTGCTGTGAGTGTAATACAGGAGTACTGACCAGTGGTGTGAGTGTGACATGGGAGTACTGACCAGTGCTGTGAGTGTAATACAGGAGTACTGACCAGTGCTGTGAGTGTAACACTGGAATACTGACCAATACTATGAGTGTGACACAGGAGTACTGACCAGTGCTGTGAGTGTAACACTGGAATACTGACCAATACTATGAGTGTAACACAGGAGCACTGACCAGTGTTGTGAGTGTGACACAGGAGCACTGACCAGTGGTGTGAGTGTGACATGGGAGTACTGACCAGTGCTGTGAGTGTAATACAGGAGTACTGACCAGTGGTGTGAGTGTAACACTGGAATACTGACCAATACTATGAGTGTGACACAGGAGTACTGACCAGTGCTGTGAGTGTAACACTGGAATACTGACCAATACTATGAGTGTAACACAGGAGCACTGACCAGTGTTGTGAGTGTGACACAGGAGTACTGACCAGTGCTGTGAGTGGAATACTGACCAATACTCAGAGTGACACTTATGTATTCCAGTACCAACCAGTATATGGTATCAGTAACAAAGCTTCCCAGATCATACATCACTAAATATCAGTTACAAAGCTTCCCAGATCATACATCACTAAATATCAGTTACAAAGCTTCCCAGATCATACATCACTAAATATCAGTTACAAAGCTTCCCAGATCATACATCACTAAATATCAGTTACAAAGCTTCCCAGATCATACATCACTATATATCAGTTACAAAGCTTCCCAGATCATACATCACTAAATATCAGTTACAAAGCTTCAAAGATCATAAAACAGCCAAACACATCTCTAAATATCAGTTACAAAGCTTCCCAGATCATACATCACTAAATATCAGTTACAAAGCTTCCAAGATCATAAAACAGCCAAACACATCTCTAAATATCAGTTACAAAGCTTCCCAGATCATACATCACTAAATATCAGTTACAAAGCTTCCAAGATCATAAAACAGCCAAACACATATCTAAATATCAGTTACAAAGCTTCCCAGATCATACATCACTAAATATCAGTTACAAAGCTTCCCATCATACATCACTAAATATCAGTTACAAAGCTTCCCAGATCATACATCACTAAATATCAGTTACAAAGCTTCCCAGATTATAAAACAGCCAAACACATCACTAAATATCAGTTACAAAGCTTCCCAGATCATACATCACTAAATATCAGTTACAAAGCTTCCCAGATCATACATCACTAAATATCAGTTACAAAGCTTCCAAGATCATAAAACAGCCAAACACATCTCTAAATATCAGTTACAAAGCTTCCCAGATCATACATCACTAAATATCAGTTACAAAGCTTCCAAGATCATAAAACAGCCAAACACATCACTAAATATCAGTTACAAAGCTTCCCAGATCATACATCACTAAATATCAGTTACAAAGCTTCCAAGATCATAAAACAGCCAAACACATCTCTAAATATCAGTTACAAAGCTTCCCAGATCATACATCACTAAATATCAGTTACAAAGCTTCCAAGATCATAAAACAGCCAAACACATCTCTAAATATCAGTTACAAAGCTTCCCAGATCATACATCACTAAATATCAGTTACAAAGCTTCCCAGATCATACATCACTAAATATCAGTTACAAAGCTTCCCAGATCATACATCACTAAATATCAGTTACAAAGCTTCCCAGATCATACATCACTAAATATCAGTTACAAAGCTTCCAAGATCATAAAACAGCCAAACACATCTCTAAATATCAGTTACAAAGCTTCCCAGATCATACATCACTAAATATCAGTTACAAAGCTTCCCAGATCATACATCACTAAATATCAGTTACAAAGCTTCCCAGATCATACATCACTAAATATCAGTTACAAAGCTTCCAAGATCATAAACTAAATATCAGCCAAACACATCAGTCTAAATATCAGTTACAAAGCTTCCCAGATCATACATCACTAAATATCAGTTACAAAGCTTCCATACATCATAAATATCATCACTAAATATCAGTTACAAAGCTTCCAAGATCATAAAACAGCCAAACACATACATCACTAAATATCAGTTACAAAGCTTCCCAGATCATACATCACTAAATATCAGTTACAAAGCTTCCCAGATCATAAAACAGCATCACTAAATATCAGTTACAAAGCTTCCCAGATCATACATCACTAAATATCAGTTACAAAGCTTCCCAGATCATACATCACTAAATATCAGTTACAAAGCTTCCCAGATCATACATCACTAAATATCAGTTACAAAGCTTCCAAGATCATACATCACTAAATATCAGTTACAAAGCTTCCCAGATCATACATCACTAAATATCAGCTACAAAGCTTCCCAGATCATAAAACAGCCAAACACATCACTAAATATCAGTTACAAAGCTTCCCAGATCATACATCACTAAATATCAGTTACAAAGCTTCCAAGATCATAAAACAGCCAAACACATCTCTAAATATCAGTTACAAAGCTTCCCAGATCATACATCACTAAATATCAGTTACAAAGCTTCCCAGATCATACATCACTAAATATCAGTTACAAAGCTTCCAAGATCATACATCACTAAATATCAGTTACAAAGCTTCCAAGATCATACATCACTAAATATCAGTTACAAAGCTTCCCAGATCATACATCACTAAATATCAGTTACAAAGCTTCCCAGATCATACATCACTAAATATCAGTTACAAAGCTTCCCAGATCATACATCACTAAATATCAGTTACAAAGCTTCCCAGATCATACATCACTAAATATCAGTTACAAAGCTTCCAAGATCATAAAACAGCCAAACACATCTCTAAATATCAGTTACAAAGCTTCCCAGATCATACATCACTAAATATCAGTTACAAAGCTTCCCAGATCATACATCACTAAATATCAGTTACAAAGCTTCCCAGATCATACATCACTAAATATCAGTTACAAAGCTTCCAGGTCATACATCACTAAATATCAGTTACAAAGCTTCCCAGATCATACATCACTAAATATCAGCTACAAAGCTTCCCAGATCATACATCACTAAATATCAGCTACAAAGCTTCCCAGATCATAAAACAGCCAAACACATCACTAAATATCAGTTACAAAGCTTCCCAGATCATACATCACTAAATATCAGTTACAAAGCTTCCCAGATCATACATCACTAAATATCAGTTACAAAGCTTCCCAGATCATACATCACTAAATATCAGCTACAAAGCTTCCCAGATCATACATCACTAAATATCAGTTACAAAGCTTCCCAGATCATACATCACTAAATATCAGTTACAAAGCTTCCCAGATCATACATCACTAAATATCAGTTACAAAGCTTCCCAGATCATACATCACTAAATATCAGTTACAAAGATTCCCAGATCATTCATCACTAAATATCAGTTACAAAGCTTCCCAGATCATACATCACTAAATATCAGTTACAAAGCTTCCCAGATCATACATCACTAAATATCAGTTACAAAGCTTCCCAGATCATACATCACTAAATATCAGTTACAACTAGCTTCCCAGATCATACATCACTAAATATCAGTTACAAAGCTTCCCAGATCATACATCACTAAATATCAGCTACAAAGCTTCCCAGATCATAAAACAGCCAAACACATCACTAAATATCAGTTACAAAGCTTCCCAGATCATACATCACTAAATATCAGTTACAAAGCTTCCCAGATCATACATCACTAAATATCAGCTACAAAGCTTCCCAGATCATAAAACAGTCAAACACATCACAAAACAAATATTCTATGTCATATTTAATGCATGTTCGATCAACTCACCATAATTATTTCTAACCAGTCACAATCAATCATATTTATAAATCAGGTGTGGTTTTTTTTTGTGTTTTATAGTGTGTTACCATGCAGGGTAACT